CGGTGGAGATGTCACAGTGCCGTGATTAGAGCCTCGCAATCGGCCACAAACTTGTCAAAGTTGGAGATGACGGCATTGACCTGATCTTCTGTCAGACCGATGATCGGTCCCAGGATCGGCAGGTACTTGTCCACGAGGGCTTTCACTCTTCCAGAAGCTTTTCAACCGGGGCTCGGCTCAGCTGCAACGCATGATATGGTGCTGAAATCAGTACCCAATTTGTACCAGGCTCTTTGAGTTTACATCAGTCTACGTTTTGCTGAGCAATGTCCGACTTGCCGCTCGGCAAACACGTTGTAATTATCTCTGCCCATAGCAGACGACGGGAGTGCACGCATGACGGAGGAGAAAACAACAGCCTCTGTTTGTGCTCCAAAATGTAATCCCTTAAAGTGCTGCCGCAGCACTCATTAATGTGTATTGCAGAGTCGATCGGTTTGCTGCATGCTTTGTGCCTACGAAGTAAATTTGCCAGTGTCATTTTTGCGCAACGTTACAGAACCGTTTCTTATCAAGGCATGTATCCCTACTTGAACCGAAGCTCGAAGGCCAAGGAGAGCAATCACAACGCTACTGATCGATCCGATGTCACTGATAGCTACCAATCATCTCCATCTTGGGAGACGTAAGTAATGCGCAATTTTACTACATGCGGGGTGCACGTCGTCGAAAAATTAATAACATTCATGCATATCAGCTAAAATGGCCAATAATGCGTCGTTATACATGCCGGCGATGCGCACTTGAATCAATTTTTGTATACACACTGTAGATTGCCTACCAATCAGTTTTACGAACGCCCACTTCCTGGCGCTAGGCAATCCACACTCAACCAGCAATAACTTTCGCTGAGCTGGTCGGGCCCACAGAGAATGACCGGCATGAGCTGCGCATTAATTTCATGAAAATGATTGATTCTGCAAGGGGCTTGAGCTCTAATGCATGCGAAAGGCGCTTAACCATATTTACCCAAGTTGGTGTGCTGGGTTATGTAGTGTTCAGTGTAATGCTAACATTAGCTATGCCTACTTACTGTGTTTTGTTCAAAACCTGCTGTGACTAACATGGGAATAGCAGCTCGTTTTTCTGATGACTCTTTCGTGTGATTGCCTTTTAACAGAGGATCAGAAACTTTTTCATTCCTCTTTTTCTGATCTTACCACCCAGGTAGCTGGTAAGATATTCCTGGATTGTAACCACGGGTGACTGTTATAAAAATGGAGTCGGAAACCCTGCCGTGAAATCCTCATGTGTGGTGCGGGACGAACTGAAAACATTTCTCCCGACCATACCATTACTACGGGCTTTAAGTGGGAGAGCTGTCATTCTTTACATATGATTGCAGCCCATATGAACTGCCGGTCGTCCATCACATAATCCAAGTAAGTGCGGGGGCATACATTATGTGAAATCTAGTAATGAAGTTGCTGATCGTTGTAATGTTTTGCACAATAACGTACTTTGCAGCAATCAGCTCTCATACACCATTGCTGCTGACGTACTGGTGGCCATAGAAACCGTCCTGGTAGGATGGGAGCTCCGCAGTCCTTCAGAATTTTGAGCACGTCCGTCAGGATCTTCTCCAGCGCAGTGTCTATGTCGGTGGTCCGTGCTCGGCCGACTCGATGTCCTTGAGAGCGTGTCAATGTCAGCCTCAGCAGCCTTGATCTGGTCATCAGTCGACCCAGCAGCACCGGCCCCAGGGACTCGAGCCCTTGCTTAGAAGACTCTCCAGCTGAGTCAGCAGGCCGTCAAGATCGGTCGGTGTGTCGTCCGCTGTGGACAAGGAGCGTAGCTGATGCATTGGTACCCTAATGGAACTCAGCAATGGATACATGAGCTAAGCATCCAGTTGTAGGTGCTGTCTCAAACCAGCAATCGCATACGATTGGTGATTTTAAAGCTCGTGCTACCACTTTCTTCGTCATCACTGAACTGCTGACATGAACGTTATGAGCAGACATGACCACGGTCATTCACTACTCACTGGATTGGTAGTATCGATGCCCAGGGCTCTCAGGATCTCGATGATGTCGGTGACCATGTTCTCGAGTCCGGTGGAGATGTCAACGGTGCCGTGATTTAGAGCCTCGCAATCGGCCACAAACTTGTCAAAGTTGGAGATGACGGCATTGACCTGATCCTCTGTCAGACCGATGATCGGTCCCAGGATCGGCAGTACTTGTCCACGAGGCTTTCAACTCCTCCAGAAGCTTTTCAACGGGGCTCGGCTCAGCTGCAACGCATGATATGGTGCGTGAAATCAGGACCCAATTTGTACCAGGCTCTTGAGTTTACACCAGTCTAGTTTTGCATGAGCAATGTCCGACTTGCCGCTCGGCAAACACTGTTGTAATTATCTCTGCCCAAGAGCAGACGACGAGAGTGCACGCATGACGGAGGAAAAAAATGATCTCTATAGTGCTCCAAAAATGTAATCCCTTAAAGTGTTGCTGCAGCAACTCATTAGTCTGTATTGCAGAGTCGATCTGTTGCTGCATGCTTTGTGCCATGCTGGGGGGAATTTGCCATTGTCATTGTTGCGCAAACAGTTACAGAACCGTTTCTTATCAGCATGCATCCTTACTTGAACCGAAGCTCGAACGCCAAGGATACAATCACAACGCTACTTGATCCGATATCATTTATAGCTACCAGATCGTTCATCCATCTTGGGAGAGGTAGCAACGCGCAATTAGTACATGCGGGGTGCACGAATCACCTTCGAAACCTTCGAAATTCGAAAAATTAAAGCATACATGCAATCAGCTAAAATGGCCCAATAATGCGTCGTTATACATCCGGCGAGTGCGCACTTGAATCAATTTTTATATACACAACGTGTAGACTGCCTACCAATCAGTTTTACGAATGCCCACTTCCTGGCGCTAGCATCCACACTCAACCAGCAATAGCCTTTCGCTGAGCTGGTCGGGCCCACAGAGAATGACCAGCATGAGCAACGCGTTAACTTGATGAAAATGATTGATTCTGCAAGGTGGCTTGAGCTCTAAATGCATGCGAAAAGGCGCTTAGCCATATTATCCCAGTTGTGTGCTGGGTATGTAGTGTTCAGTGTAATGCTGACAGTAGCTATGTCTACTTACTGCGTTTTGTTTACAACCTGCTGGGTTGACTAACATGGCAACAAAACAGCACGTTTTGCTGATGACTCTGTTCGTCCGATTGCTTTTTAACCAGAGAATCAGAAATTTTTTTATTTCCCGTTTTTGGTTACCATGCAGGTTTCTGGTAATACTCCTAGGCGTGTAACCACAGGTGACTGTTATAAAAATAGAGTCAGGAAAACCCTTGCCGTGAAATCCTCATGTGTTGCGGGACGAACTGAAAACATTTCTCCCGACATACCCTTTCTATGGGCTTTAAGTGGGAGAGCTGTCATTCTTTACATATGATTGCAGCCTATATGACTGCCGGTCGTCAGTCATATAATCCAAGTAAGTGACGAGGCATACATTATGTAAATCTAGTAGTGAAGTTTGCTGATCGTTGTAATGTTTTGCACAACACGTACTTTGCAGCAATCAGTTCTCATACACCATTTGCCGCTGACGTACTGGTGGCCATAGAAACCGTCCTGGGTAGGATGGGAGCTCCGCAGTCCTTCAGAATGTTGAGCACGTCCGTCAGGATCTTCTCCAGCGCAGTGTCGATGTCGGTGTGTCCGTGCTCGGCCGACTCGATATCCTTGATGAGCGTGTCAATGTCAGCCTCTGCAGCCTTGATCTGGTCATCAGTCAGACCCAGCACCGGCCCCAGGGACTCGAGACCCTTGCTTAGAAGACTCTCCAGCTGAGTCAGCAGGCCGTCCAGATCGGTCGGTGTGTCGTCCTGTGGACAAGGAGCGTGTAGCTGATGCATTGGTACCCTAAATGGATCTCAGCAATGAATGCATGAGCTAAGGATCCAGTTTGTAGGTGTTGTCTCAAAACTACGCAATCGCATACGAACGGTGATTTTAAAGCTCGTGCTACCACTTTCTTCGTCATCACTGAACTGCTGACATGAACGCTATGAGCAGACATGACCAACGGTCATTCACTACTCACTGGGATTGGTAGTATCGATGCCCAGGGCTCTCAGGATCTCGATGATGTCGGTGACCATGTTCTCGAGTCCGGTGGAGATGTCAACGGTGCCGTGATTTAGAGCCTCGCAATCGGCCACAAACTTGTCAAAGTTGGAGATGACGGCATTGACCTGATCCTCTGTCAGACCGATGATCGGTCCCAGGATCGGCAGGTACTTGTCCACGAGGGCTTTCAACTCCTCCAGAAGCTTTTCAACGGGGCTCGGCTCAGCTGCAACGCATGATATGGTGCGTGAAATCAGTACCCAATTTGCACCAAGGCTCTTGAGTTTACACACAGTCTACGTTTTGCATGAGCAATGTCCGACTTGCCGCTCGGCAACACTGTTGTAATTATCTCTGCCCAAGAGCAGACGACGAGAGTGCACGCATGACGGAGGAAAAAAAACATGATCTCTATAGTGCTCCAAAAAATGTAATCCCTTAAAGTGTTGCTGCAGCACCTCATTAGTCTGTATTGCAGAGTCGATCTGTTGCTGCATGCTTTGTGCCATGCTGGGGGAATTTGCCATTGTCAGTTGCGCAAAAGTTACAGAACCGTTTCTTATCAGCATGCATCCTTACTTGAACTGAAGCTCGAACGCCAATACAATCACAACGCTACTTGATCCGATATCATTTATAGCTACCAGATCGTTCATCCATCTTGGGAGAGGTAAGCAACGCGCATTTAGTACATGCGGAGTGCACGAATCACCTTCGAAACCTTCGAACCTTCGAAAAATTAATAGCATACATGCATATCAGCTAAAATGGCCCAATAATGCGTCGTTATACATGCCGGCGAGTGCGCACTTGAATCAATTTTTATATACACACGTGTAGACTGCCTACCAATCAGTTTTACGAATGCCCACTTCCTGGCGCTAGCATCCACACTCAACCAGCAATAGCCTTTCGCTGAGCTGGTCGGGCCCACAGAGAATGACCAGCATGAGCAACGCGTTAACTTGATGAAAATGATTGATTCTGCAAGGTGGCTTGAGCTCTAAATGCATGCGAAAAGGCGCTTAGCCATATTTATCCCAGGTTGTGTGCTGGGTATGTAGTGTTCAGTGTAATGCTGACAGTAGCTATGTCTACTTACTGCGTTTTGTTTAACACCTGCTGGGTTGACTAACATGGCAACAAAACAGCACGTTTTGCTGATGACTCTGTTCGTCCGATTGCTTTTTAACCAGAGAATCAGAATTTTTTTATTCCCCGTTTTTATGATGTTACCATGCAGGTTGCTGGTAAGATACTCCTAGGCGTGTAACCACAGGTGACTGTTATAAAAATGGAGTCAGGAAAACCCTTGCCGTGAAATCCTCATGTGTGTGCGGGACGAACTGAAAACATTTCTCCCGACATACCATTACTACGGGCTTTAAGTGGGAGAGCTGTCATTCTTTACATATGATTGCAGCCTATATGACTGCCGGTCGTCAGTCACATAATCCAAGTAAGTGAGGAGGCATACATTATGTAAATCTAGTAATGAAGTTTGCTGATCGTTGTAATGTTTTGCACAACAACGTACTTTGCAGCAATCAGTTCTCATACACCATTTGCCGCTGACGTACTGGTGGCCAATAGAAACCGTCCTGGGTAGGATGGGAGCTCCGCAGTCCTTCAGAATGTGAGCACGTCCGTCAGGATCTTCTCCAGCGCAGTGTCGATGTCGGTGTGTCCGTGCTCGGCCGACTCGATGTCCTTGATGAGCGTGTCAATGTCAGCCTCTGCAGCCTTGATCTGGTCATCAGTCAGACCCAGCACCGGCCCCAGGGACTCGAGACCCTTGCTTAGAAGACTCTCCAGCTGAGTCAGCAGGCCGTCCAGATCGGTCGGTGTGTCGTCCGCTGTGGACAAGGAGCGTGTAGCTGATGCATTGGTACCCTAAATGGATCTCAGCAATGAATGCATGAGCTAAGGATCCAGTTTGTAGGTGTTGTCTCAAAACTACGCAATCGCATACGAATGGTGATTTTAAAGCTCGTGCTACCACTTTCTTCGTCATCACTGAACTGCTGACATGAACGCTATGAGCAGACATGACCAACGGTCATTCACTACTCACTGGGATTGGTAGTATCGATGCCCAGGGCTCTCAGGATCTCGATGATGTCGGTGACCATGTTCTCGAGTCCGGTGGAGATGTCAACGGTGCCGTGATTTAGAGCCTCGCAATCGGCCACAAACTTGTCAAAGTTGGAGATGACGGCATTGACCTGATCCTCTGTCAGACCGATGATCGGTCCCAGGATCGGCAGGTACTTGTCCACGAGGGCTTTCAACTCCTCCAGAAGCTTTTCAACGGGGCTCGGCTCAGCTGCAACGCATGATATGGTGCGTGAAATCAGGACCCAATTTGTACCAAGGCTCTTGAGTTTACACCAGTCTACGTTTTGCATGAGCAATGTCCGACTTGCCGCTCGGCAAACACTGTTGTAATTATCTCTGCCCAAGAGCAGACGACGAGAGTGCACGCATGACGGAGGAAAAAAACATGACCTCTGTTGTGCTCCAAAAAATGCAATCCTTGAAGTGCTGCTGCAGCACCTCATTAATCTGTATTGCAGAGTCGATCTGTTGCTGCATGCCTTGTGCCATGCTGGAGGAATTTGCCATTGTCATTGCTGCGCGCAAACAGTTACAGAACCGTTTCTTATCAGCATGTACCCCTACTTGAACCGAAGCTCGAAGGCCAAGGATACAATCACAACGCTACTTGATCGATGTCACTGATAGCTACCAGATCTTTCATCCATCCTCGGGAGAGGTAAGCAATGCCGCCTATTTAGTACATGCGGAGTGCACGTCGTCGAGAAATTAATAGCATACATGCATTTTAGCTAAAATGGCCCAATCATGCGTCGTTATACATGCCGGCGAGTGCGCACTTGAATCAATTTTTGTATACACACGTGTAGATTGCCTACCAATCAGTTTTACGAATGCCCACTTCCTGGCGCTAGCATCCAAACTCAACCAGCAATAATCTTTCGCTGAGCTGGTCGGGCCCACAGAGAATGACCGGCATGAGCTGCGCATTAATTTCATGAAAATGATTGATTCTGCAAGGTGGCTTGAGCTCTAAATGCATGCGAAAAGGCGCTTAGCCATATTTATCCCAGGTTGTGTGCTGGGATGTAGTGTTGCAGTGTAATGCTGACAGTTAGCTATGCCTACTTATTGCGGTTTGTTTAAACACACTGCTTGTGCTTGACTAGCCAATGGAAAAGAACAGCACGTTTTGCTGATGACTCTGTTCGTCCGATTGCTTTTTAACCAGAGAATCAGAAATTTGTTCATCCCGTTCTTGTGATGTACTATGCAGGTTACTGGTAAGATATTCTAGAAATTACACCACCCAGGTGACTGTTATAAAATGGCGTCAGGAAACCCTTGCAGTGAAATCCTCATGTGTGTGCGGGACGCACTGAAAACATTTCTCCCGACATACCATTACTATGGGCGTACGGTTAAGTGGGAGAGTGTCGTTCTGAACATATAATTGCAGTCCATATGACTGCGGTCGTCGGTTATATAATCAAGTAAGTGAGGAGGCATAATTACGTGAAATCCAGTAATGAAGTTTGCTGACCGTTGTAATGTTTTGCAAATAACGTACTTTGAGCAATCAGTTCTCATACACCAATTGCTGCTGACGTACTGGTGGCCATAGAAACCGTCCCTGGGTCTAGGATGGGAGCTCCGCAGTCCTTCAGAATGTTGAGCACGTCCGTCAGGATCTTCTCCAGCGCAGTGTCGATGTCGGTGTGTCCGTGCTCGGCCGACTCGATGTCCTTGACTGAGCGTTGTCAATGTCAGCCTCTGCAGCCTTGATCTGGTCATCAGTCAGACCCAGCACCGGCCCCCAGGGACTCGAGACCCCTTGCTTAGAAGACTCTCCAGCTGAGTCAGCAGGCCGTCAAGATCGGTCGGTGTGTCGTCAGCTGTGGACAAGGAGCGTGGAGCTGATGCATTGGTACCCTAAATGGAACTCAGCAATGGATACATGAGCTAAGCATCCGGTTTGTAGGTGCTGTCTCAAAACTACGCATTTACATACTATTGGTGATTTTAAGGCTCGTGGTTACTACTTTTTTCGTCATCACTGAACTGCTGACATGAACGCTATGAGCAGACATGACCAACGGTCATTCACTACTCACTAGGATTGGTAGTATCGATGGCCCAGGGCTCTCAGGATCTCGATGATGTCGGTGACCATGTTCTCGAGTCCGGTGGAGATGTCAACAGTGCCGTGATTTAGAGCCTCGCAATCGGCCACAAACTTGTCAAAGTTGGAGATGACGGCATTGACCTGATCCCTCTGTCAGACCGATGATCGGTCCCAGGATCGGCAGGTACTTGTCCACGAGGGCTTTCAACTCCTCCAGAAGCTTTTCAACGGGGCTCGGCTCAGCTGCAACGCATGATATGGTGCGTGAAATCAGTACCCAATTTGTACCAAGGCTCTTGAGTTTACACAAGTCTACGTTTTGCATGAGCAATGTCCGACTTGCCGCTCGGACAAACACTGTTTGTAATTATCTCTGCCCAAGAGCCGACGACGGGAGTGCACGCCACGGAGGAAAAAAAACATGACTCTGTTGTGCTCCAAAAAATGTAATCACTTAAAGTGCTTGCCGCAGCACCTCATTAATCTGCATTGCAGAGTCAATCTGTTGCTGCATGCTTTGTGCCCATACCGAAGTAAATTTGCCATTGTCATTCTTGCGCAGTTACAGAACCGTTTCTTATCAGCATGTATCCCTACTTGAACCAAAGCTCGAAGGTCAAGGATACAATCACAACGTACTTGATCCGATATCACTGATAGCTACCAGATCAATCATCCATCTTGGGAGATGTAAGCAACGCGCTATTAAGTACATACGGGGTGCACGTCGTCGAAAAATTAATAACATTTATGCATATCAGCTAAAATGGCCCAAAAATGCGTCGTTTTACATGCCGGCGAGTGCGCACTTGAATCAATTTTTGTATACAAACGTGTAGATTGCCTACCAATCAGCCTTACGAACGCCCACTTCCTGGCGCTAGCATCCACACTCAACCAGCAATAATCTTTCTGAGCTGGTCGGGCCCACAGAGAATGACCGGCATGAGCTGCGCATTAATTTCATGAAAATGATTGATTCTGCAAGGTGGCTTGAGCTCTAAATGCATGCGAAAAGGCGCTTAGCCATATTTATCCCAAGTTGTGTACTGGGAATGTAGTGTTCAGTGTAATGCTAACATTAGCTATGCCTACTTGCTGCGTTTTGTTCAAAACCTGCCTGTGCTGACTAACATGGGGAATAGAACAGCTCGTTTTTCTGATGACTCTTTTCGTCTGATTGCCTTTAACCAGAGGATCAAAAACTTTTTCATTCCCCTTTTTCTGATCTTACTACACAGGTAGCTGGTAAGATATTCCTAGAGTTATAACCACAGGTGACTTTTATAAAAATGGCGTCAGGAATCCCTTACAGTGAAATCCTCATGTGTGTGCGGGCTGAATTGAAAGGATTTTTCCCCGACGCACCATTACTTTGGGTTTTAGGTGGGAGAGCTGTCGTTCTGACATATAAATTGCAGTCCATATGACTGCCGGTCGTCGGTTATATAATCCAAGTAAGTGAGGAGGCATACATTACGTGAAATCCAGTAATGAAGTTTGCTGACCGTTGTAATGTTTTGCACAATAACGTACCTGATGTTGCACAATTGCACAATAACGCAACGTACTTTGCAGCAACCAGTTCTCATACACCAATTGCTGCTGACGTACTGGTGGCTATAGAAACCGTCCTGGGTAGGATGGGAAGCTCCGCAGTCCTTCAGAATGTTCAGCACGTCCGTCAGGATCTTCTCCAGCGCAGTGTCGATGTCGGTGTGTCCGTGCTCGGCCGACTCGATGTCCTTGATGAGCGTGTCAATGTCAGCCTCAGCAGCCTTGATCTGGTCATCAGTCAGACCCAGCACCGGCCCCAGGGACTCGAGACCCTTGCTTAGAAGACTCTCCAGCTGAGTCAGCAGGCCGTCCAGACCGGTCGGTGTGTCGTCAGCTGTGGACAGAGTGCGGGTAACGCATCGGTTCATCGGTTCATCGGTTCATCGGTTCTCTATTGGCTCTCCACATGACATCCAGTATGTACAAAATGCGTACTCAACCTCGAGTTTTTTAAGCCAGGTTTCAGTGCTGCGCAATAACGTATGGATCGAGACTTCCAACCTGATGTCCCTTTTTTCTTTGTCATCACTGATCCGTTGATATGAACATTATGAGCAGACGTGATCAATAGCTATACGTTACTCACTAGGATTGGTAGTATCGATGCCCAGGGCTCTCAGGATCTCGATGATGTCGGTGACCATGTTCTCGAGTCCGGTGGATATTTCAACGGTGCCGTGATTTAGAGCCTCGCAATCGGCTACAAACTTGTCAAAGTTGGAGATGACGGCGTTGACCTGATCCTCTGTCAGACCGATGATCGGTCCCAGGATCGGCAGGTACTTGTCCACGAGGGGCTTTCAACTCCTCCAGAAGCTTTTCAACGGGGCTCGGCTCAGCTGAAAAGCATGAATGGGAACGTGAATAGACTATGGCGGCGAGTGATCAACACCTCTAAAAGACTGGGTTACAAGTTCAATGTTTGCTATGTCCATCCGACAATCGCTTGTATTATGGACTCTACGAAACCAGCCGGGAATAGAAAAGGCTTTTCTTTCGCGGTCGCGGAACGCGGCATTACAGATATGGCGCTGCTTGCGCATATTCTCGCGATGTAGCATCGCTTCTCATAAGGTCGTGCGATCTCGATGCGACGAGCATGGCCCGTGCAAGGAACCCTTGGCGTTGCATTCATTCCAATACGCTTCTTATTTTAGCATCGAAGTTGTCGACAAGTTGTTGACAACAGTTTCATGAAGTGCTGTCAGTATTTCACTTCGTGTTTCATGATTAAATGAGGAAGTGTATAAGCCTTGGGAGAGAAATTTGGAATTTTCTGCCTTCCAATGCAGCAAAATCGTTCTCTGCGTTCATCTTCGCTCTTTTACTAGTGCAGAAGTTGAATATGTTGTAAAAATGCAATTTAATGAATGCTGGTAAAGTTTCACCTTTGTCGTTGTGACAGCAAGGTGTGCATAATATGTGTTTTACGTACTGGTGACCGTGTAGACACTCCTGAAAAAGATGGGAGCTCCACAGTCCTTCAGAATGTTCAGCACGTCCGTCAGGATCTTCTCCAGCGCAGTGTCGATGTCGGTGTGTCCGTGCTCGGCCGACTCGATGTCCTTGATGAGCATGTCAATGTCAGCCTCAGCAGCCTTGATCTGGTCATCAGCCAGACCCAGAACCGGTCCCAGAGACTCGAGCCCCTTGTTCAGAAGACTCTCCAGCTGAGTCAACACACTGTCCAGATCTGTCGGTGTGTCGTCCGCTGTGGACAAAGGACATACAGACGTTGAACTGCTTCACTAATATTGGGTGAGCAATTAAAAAGTAAGCGGGCCGGAAAGTTTACAAAAGATGTTGGAAATACGCATATAATATAATGACCCATGGCTTCCAAAGGCACCTGTTATAATGGTCGTCGTTTAGATTGAGGCATTCAGATTTCGATGTTGTGCACTTTTTCAAAATCTCAATTGGTACTCACTGGGGTTGGTTTGATCAATGCCCAAGGCTTTCAGGATGTCAATGATGTCGGTGACCATGTTCTCGAGTCCCGTGGAGATATTCACTGTGCCGTGTTCCAGAGCCTCTACATCAGCCACAAACTTGTCAAAGCTAGAGACGATGGAGCTGATCTGGTCCTCGGTGAGGCCGGCGAGAGGTCCAAACATCGGCAGGTAGCGGTCCACGATTGCCTTCAGCTCGCCTAGCAGCTTGTCCACAGGGCTCGGCTCGGCTGCGGGACGACTTATGATCAGCGTTCGCACGGCCGGGCCGGGAGTTGGTGGCCTCTGTGGTTTGTGAAATCGGGCTGATTGTTGGGAAATGCGACGATCAGCCCATGGTTTCTGAGCGTTCTTGTTCGTATCGTCCTGGTACTGATGTTTAGGTTGATAATGAGCGGTTTTCTTTGAACAACTTTAAATTCCAATCAATTTCTGAAGCACCCTGCATATATCTGTAATTTATGTGTGAAACAAGATGTCAGATGGCTGTATATTGTTTTATTATTTTTCCACTCTAGTGCCTTGGGGCTGCGCTCTCCATATGAAAGCACAGTGCGCAAAGTGCAAGATAATTGGTGCGTATAATGTCAAGTCAGAACATGCACATCCCGCTCTAAACTGCTTCTGACTTATCCTCTTTGGCTGAAAGTAAATTCGTTAGTCAGAGGATCGGAGCAGAGCTAATGACAGCATCCACAGACAGAGCCAAACAAACTCCCGAAGCGAGCGTCGCTGAGTTCGACGGTGTCTTGGAAATACAGTCAGATTCAGGGCTGATGCGCTACAGAGGATATATGCGTGCATATTTATTTAATGTATGTATACATATATGTATGTATATATATACATATATATATATATATATTTATCTGCGTACGTATGTATGTATGCATGTATGTTTATAATGCATACGTACATATTCAAAGGTAAATGTTCCGCTCAAAACTGCTGATCTGGACAGAAATCAAAATAAAAAAGACCTGCGTGGAACCCATTGTTGCACACAAAAGACGAAATATATAGGTTTGCGGTGACGGCAGGATAGTAACTCAGTAAATGCAGTAATAAATGGTGAATGGGTCCATGATAGTGAGGCTTTGCCGGTTCTGGCAGATGCTGGTTGACAATAAACGCATTTTTACCCGAAGCCAAGTCTGTATCAGCCCATTGCTTTCCGATATAAGCCAGTTCCCGCGTACATTTCTGCCACCTACAAGCCGTTGATACCGGCTCAAAAGCAGACGTGGTAACTCTACTCCTTACCGATGTGCTTTCTCAAACCCCTCCAAATAGCCGGCGACAGCTCAGCGTACACCAAAGTGCAGGTAGTGTGCCGAGCAACGCCGGGCCCATGTCCTCCTCACATCGGGCTTACGTACTGGAGTTGCTGGACGTCAGGTGGTCGGTTGGTATGCCAAAGTCGCCCAGGATCTTGAGGATGTCGAGCAGGATGGCCTCCAGACCTCCGTCCACGTCAATCTGGCCGTCGCCCAGGGTACGGATGTCAGCCATCAGCACGTGAAGGTCGGCCTCCACCTGCTTGGTCTGGTCGTAGTCGAGGCCGATGAAGACGCCGACGATGTCGAGCACGGCGTTGAGCGCTTCCTCCAGCCAAAAGAGCACCTCGTCGAGTGTGGTCGGAGCGTCCGTGGCTGCCGTCAGAACCCAGGTTCAGCAACCAGGGCCATCCCATCTAGCGTACTTGTCTGTGTCTGCATCACGCGGAAGAACGGGCTGGTCCGACCGAAACGTTTCCTTCCAAGATATCTTTAGCTGATGTGATTGCCGCTGTCAGGTGGGCTTTGCGATGGACCCATATTTTTGGGAGGTGCCGCTTTCGTCTGAGAACAGGCGCCGTCAACGGCCATCGTCTGACATGTAAATTGGACTCTGGCCTCTTACTCCAGGGTCACCAAGCCCAGCTGCACGCTCCGTCGCATGTATCCTTTCTCGAGAAACTCACAGGGAACTGTGAAATCCACTCCGAAGGCTTCTAGAACACGCAGAATGTCGATGCAGATGTCGATGACGCCGTCGGCGATCTCAATTGTGCCATGCTCCATGCCCTCGATGTCGGCGACGAACTTGTCGAAGTTGGTTATGATGGATTCGTACTCTTCTTTGGTGATGCCGATCGCCGGGCCGATAATTGGCATGTAGGTGTCCACAACGTGCTTCAGCTCCTCCAAGATCAAGTCGACAATCGAAGGGATCGCTGATGATATGTCAGAGTCACTTAGTAATCAGTTTCTGTGCCAAACAGATGCAGATGATAGCATATGTGTTGTTCCTTTTTCCGCGTGTGCAGGTCCCGCCTGTTGTCAGGTTGTGTCTCCAACGTTCGACTGTGACAAACGTGAAAATGGTCCTGCCCGCGCCAGTGTTTAAGTGATAATGTATAAGACTGTCTACGTGTTGGCACGGGGCAAAAGCGAACTATTGAAATTATGTTATGCTACGAATCTTTACAATCTTGTACAATCTTGCTACTGCTCGTTTGTACAGGGAGCTACATTCATTTAGCAACGTTCAGTGATAACTCGGCGATTATAGCATTCTCTGAGGCTGCGTCTCGGGGCTCACGCCGACAGCTTTGGATCGACCATTACCCATTCACAGTTATTATGGTGTTATACCCCATGAAGGGTTTGGCCAATCCTTGCACCGGACGGGTGGTGTATAGTGAACGCTGCAATGCAACACCAACTCCTCTCAGCTAGCTGGCACTACGTGAGCTCCGCTTAGCTGTAATGAAGTCGGCGCAGATAGTTCCAATGTGAGCGCAGATAGTTCCATTATGAGCGTGTTCCTCATTCTGTGTATCCCTGACACCACGTTCAAGTCGGTACCGTGATTAAATAGATTGGGAGGCTTCCTTCGTGAATCGGAGGCATCCCGTTCTGGATTACGTGACCCTCTATGTATCAGGAGGCCCTTTTCTGGGACATGAAACCCTGGTACGGGATAGCGGGACCCTTTTTTGTATAATCAGAACGCCCCCATTCCGATTTGTTTTGGTTGGCATTCCTTTACTTGGATAGGTTACATGTGACATTCTGATGTGCACGTGTGCACGTGCCCGCGGTGCTCCTCTCCCCTGAATACAGCATTTTCCAGGAAGCCCCCTTGTGTGGAGGCACCAATTTGTCCAAAAGCCCCACTTTCAACTCAAAATTCATGCCATCGCCCCTGCCAGGAATAAGGTAGTGCTTGATGGTTTGAGGGCTGGGTAGATTCAGTCTTTATTGAGAGCTGCTGGATTGAGTGTCTTGCTAGCTCTCCAAGTTCGATGTAGCCGGTTTTACGCATATATTTCATGACTTGACCTTGAACGTTACGTGTACTCCCGACATGTCGGCCTCAAATTCATTTCATTGGCTGCGTAGTGCACATGGTGTGGTCGGATGTCGTGTAAGCAGCATCCGTGCACCAAGCAGATGCAGACGACAGCATAAGTTTTGACGCTTTCCCTGTGCGCGTGTGCCCTCCCTGGTGTGGCATTTTTTATACGCTTGGTTACCAAAATGTTCAGTTGGTTTTGTTGCTGCATACGATTTTATGGCAATGCTGTAGGATCCATGGTCTTTTGAACACAAAACAAAGCAAGTGTTTTCAAATTGTGCTATGCCACCAGACAGTAAAATTACTACTCGTTTTACTGAGAGCTATGTTCAGTCGCAGCCCTGCGATCTTGCTCGTTTGCAAGGCTGTGTCTCGGTTACCCCCCACTTACAACTTTTTGCAGTCATTATCCATCCACTGCTGCTGTGATGCTCTAACTAACAAACGGAATGGCCAGCTACCGCACAAGACGGATGGTACGTTTGGAGAATGTTACAAAAGTGCACATGCTGTTCTCAGCTGGCTGCCGCCTGGTGACCCGACGTGGTCTCTGACGACGTCGTCATGAAAGTTGCGTTACCAGTGAATATGGCACGCTCACTAATTCGATACGACTTGAATAATGCACCAATAAAGTATGGTACTACCACATACTCTCCCTGCGTACTGGTAAGTACCTCAGCATTCCACTTACTGGTGCCCTGAACGTCGAAACTAAGGCTGGTCTGGATGCCGAATTCGTGCAGGATCTTGACGAGGTCCATCAGCACGGTCTCCAGACCGCCGTCCACGTCGACGTCGCCGTGCTCGATGGCCTCGATGTCCTTGATAAGGGTGTCGATGTCTGCCTCGGCGGCCTTGATCTGGTCGTCGGTCAGGCCCAGGATCGGGCCCAAAAGCCCGAGCACGGTATCCAGTGCAGATTCCAGCTGGGCCAACAAACCGTCGAGCGCGGTCGGCGTATCGTCAGCTGGAGACGAGTGGGGCGTGTGAGTGAACGTGACGCAGCGACACAGCGGTAGGATAGAGGAGAGTCTGCCTCCCGTTTGTTTACTCAGCCAAGCTTGCAAAACTGACATGTGTGATGTGTTAGAAACCAGTTTATAATTTATGGTCGTGTTATCGAATGCATGCGTTGAACATGCATTCCCGGGCAAATCTGGGCAAGGTACCTTAATCTGCCCACATGTAGAGCAGGTCTGGGTTATGAAAATCAGGAACATTGGCTGTCTCCAAAGCTATGGACAGCTAGTGCCGCCTTCCAATACTCGCGCATAAGAATGCCACCGTGAAGCCAACTGCATTGTCCGAGGCAAGAAATACTTAAAGTGGACTGTCACTTAACAAACCACGTGGGTTACGCCTCCGCTCAGGTTGCGATACCGACCGTACTCACTAGGCGCATTGTAGTCAATACCAAGGATCTTCAGAATCTCGAGGATGTCAGTGATCATAGCTTCGAGGCCGTCGGTTGTTGGCACCTGGCCGTGCTCCAGCGCCTCCACGTCCGCCACGAACTTGTCGAACTGCTTGCGCGCCTCCAGAGCCTGCTTCTCCGTCAGGCCTATGATTGGCCCAAGGATGGGCAAGTACTTTTCCACCAACGACTGCAGCTCCTCCAGGATCTTGTCCAGAAAAGACATGGGCGCTGTAGAGTGGAGGATGCAAGTGAGGAGGGTTGTATGACAGTGGCGTTCTAATGAATTTTGGCCAGGCTGGAAAGGCTCATAAGTTTCTGAATTATTTGTGCCCCGATGAGTAAGGCGTTCCTGTCTCTTACCGTGGCCTAGCAAGTTTGGGCTTTGTTTCGTGTTGACAACCTTAGAGGACTATTGGCCAGGGTATTCTCATACTGGCGTTGGTATCCACACATTGAAAGACATATTTCTGAAAGTTGTAGGTTTTTAAGCTGCGTTAATTTCGAAAGCGTTTTCGTCCTTTTCATTGCATGTGGGTGCAATTGGGTGCCATGTATGCAGACTTCTTACCTAAGACATGTGCCCCTCACATGAGCTCCATCCTCACCTCACTCATAGCGACTTTCACCCGCACTTACTGGTGACGTCCAGCTGCTCTCCATCCTGGACTGCGCCCAGCTGGTGCAGCACAACGAGCACTTCGGAGAGCACGGCGTGCAGGCCGGCCTCGACATCAGTGGTGCCTGCGGCAAGAGCGCGCAGTCCCTGCGCCGCCTCGTGAGCGGCGGTCACCAGAGCTTGGGCCGCCTCAGCCGACCCGTGCTGCTGCAGCATGGTGTGTGCTTGCCACTCGGCCGCTGCTATGAGGCCGTGCAGGCGGCTGACGGCTGCGGTCAGCGGGGCAGGGTTAGGGGGGACAGTGTCAGGGACATGGAGCTGGCGCGGACGCGGTCAGCGGGGCAAGGTTAGGGGGGACAGTGTCAGGGACATGAAGCTGGCGCGGACGCGGTCAGCGGGGCAGGGTTAGGGGGGACAGTGTCAGGGACATGGAGCTGGCGCGGACGCGGTCAGCGGGGCAGGGTTAGGGGGGACAGTGTCAGGGACATGGAGCTGGCGCGGACGCGGTCAGCGGGGCAGGGTTAGGGGGGACAGTGTCAGGGACATGGAGCTGACGCAGCCGCGGCTAGGTTTTTGCGAGAGCGTTATGTTTTGGGGGCAAAACTTGTGGAGAGATGTGATACAACTACCTTTTGCGTTCTGGTCTGTACCAACAGGGTTGCTGTTGACAATAAAAAGCAAATGTCAAATGCCCAATGGTTGGGAAGAATGCTGAATCGCATTGTAGAGACGTCTAGTGGTTTACCACTAGTGGTTTAGTTTACTGGTTAGTGGTTTCACCAGGACTCAAACCGGACGCGTGCACGGATTCGGCTGCGACGAGTGACCATGGAAGGATGTCGTCTTGGGACCTTACCCGGGACGGTTAGTCAGTGCAAGACGATCCTCCACCGAGTTAACCTTCATCAAATGTCGACATTACCTACAAATTTTGTGCAAGAGTTATGCTCGTGGTGGTTGCCTAATCAGCGACTTTGTTTAACTCACTCTGATCCTGCTTTTGGTTCTTCAGGTTGCGGATGTGGTTTTCGATTGTGCGGACCGTGTCGATCACCCCGCGCACATTTTTTGCAGCTTCGAGAGTCTGACGGCTCGAATGCGGAACTGAAACACGCCACGCCAGTTCGAGCCCACACCTGAGTCATCATTGGTGATATGAAGATGCAGATGACCTTGATTTATCTGTGAGTTCAAAGTTATCGGGAATCAAAAGCTTGCCAATTTTAGCAGCTGTTCACGTTAAAATATCACAGTGTATGCAACGATTATCGGAACTTTTACGCCGCTGGCTAGCAACTGAGAAACATCCGTCACCCCGAAATAAACGAAAAATGTAGGTTTTACTGCTGCTTAGAGCCATGCGGTATAGAACAACTCTGATTCGTAGTTCATAGCAGCTTAATGTGATGCATTGTTAACACTGCGCATGCTCCACTGCCGCTCCTTTAGTGGCATGACGTAGAGAGCCATCTATTACGGCACAATTCATCGCATGGCAAGAACGGCCATAAGATGCACTGCTGAAGCCGGCCAGAGATCACGTGCCACGTCTTGCTATGCGTCCTCTTGTTCTCACTAGTCACCACCGCGCGCTCTGCTGGTGCCAATGCAACGTACGCGGCTTTCGGATCGTCGCTGACGACACGAGGACCACAAGGAGGGCTGCCGCGATCAGCCGCATCTTGGCTCCGCTGGTGGGTCAGAGTGGCAGAGTCGACCCCGACGCCGCTTATATGTGGGGACGCTCACAGGTGGGCGCGTCCCACGCGATGACCCTTATCGAATACGCAGGTTCCGCCGACTGACCAGGCGGTGCCCTCCCGGTGAGATATGGCCTGACCAGGCGGCGCCCTCCCGGTGAGGTATGGCCTGACCAAGCGGTGCCCTCCCGGTGAGGTATGGCCTGACCAGGCGGTGCCCTCCCGGTGAGGTATGGCCTGACCAGGCGGTGCCCTCCCGGTGAGGTATGGCCTGACCAGGCGGTGCCCTCCCGGTGAGATATGGCCTGACCAGGCGGTGCCCTCCCGGTGAGGTATGGCCTGACCAGGCGGTGCCCTCCCGGTGAGGTATGGCCTGACCAGGCGGTGCCCTCCCGGTGAGGTATGGCCTGACCAGGCGGTGCCCTCCCGGTCAGGTATGGCCTGACCAGGCGGTGCTCTCCCGGTGAGGTATGGCCTGACCAGGCGGTGCCCTCCCGGTGAGGTATGGCCTGACCAGGCGGTGCCCTCCCGGTGAGGTATGGCCTGACCAGGCGGTGCCCTCCCGGTGAGGTATGACCTGACCAGCGGTGCCCTCCCGGTGAGGTATGGCCTGACCAGGCGGTGCCCTCCCGGTGAGGTATGGCCTGACCAAGCGGTGCCCTCCCGGTGAGGTATGGCCTGACCAGGCGGTGCCCTCCCGGTGAGGTATGGCCTGACCAGGCGGTGCCCTCCCGGTGAGATATGGCCTGACCAGGCGGTGCCCTCCCGGTGAGATATGGCCTGACCAGGCGGTGCCCTCCCGGTGAGGTATGGCCTGACCAGGCGGTGCCCTCCCGGTAAGGTATGGCCTGACGGATTTAACGTGATAACGACTGCGGGATGCCCTTGTCTGCGCTTGGGTGTTGCCAACGGCTTACAATATGACTCGTTGAAACTTTTGAAGTTGATTTTTTAATGTGCGTGCTACCGCTCCAACAAGGCGTTGATAACCTGATGGTAATTATCTTTGCATGCTCTGAACAGATAGGGGCGGCGGTTTGTGCACATTAGTGAAGGAAAGGGAGGAAGCCAGAACCCGATATCCCAACACTCTAACTCGCCCAAAGGCTGCTGCATTTCCGCACCATAGCAGCCATCGTAATTAAATGGTGTCCCTGGAAAACACGATTTGGATAAGCTTTATCATTGTCCTCTTCATGCGTGATATTCCAGCAAAAATATTGGTGTTGGGGTACTCAGACCAATATTGTTGGGAAGGGCAGAACCCTCACAACAATGTGCAAATCGACACCTTTGGAGCATATCTCTGCTTGCATTGACGACGGACGGTGGCGTATCGATTAATTAAATATAAAGACCAAGCACCTCGAGTTTCTTGTCAAGCATTTGATTTGGAAGATCTTACTCTGGCGGCTATCAATCATCAACCTACCAAACAGTGGTGGTTAAGCGACGGTATCAATAAAGTATTGGCTGCATTGGCAAAACTCGACGCTTCACAGCTGTGTCTATGCTCAACGGACATACACTCGCGATTATGATCTCAGCTTCGAAACGCTGAGTGTGTCAATACAGTCAATTTTTCTTTGATGGCGCCATTTCACGAGTTCTTTCGGGAATACCGATTGCCTTTTTTCGGAAAAAGAGCTCTGATCTAAGATCTGACTATTGTCGGAATCAGATCTGTATTTAGAAATGGTGTGAAGGCAAGGGCATATATATCTAAAGATGGGCCTGTTGTCTTTTTCCTTGGGCGGCTACCGTTGCATAGAAAGAACCCTCTTCTACTTTGAAAATAAATGTCTCAAGTGACCTCCACTTTGCTTTTTTTAATTAAACTAAAATCAAGGACCGTTGTGCTCATTTGTTCACACATGACATTTGGTTCATCAGTTCTGCAGATAGCTTTGCAGGCCTAACGCCTTATGTGCGCTCCAGATCGTTGAACTCACCGCTTGTCTTCGAAAAGATGGCTTTCGATCCAAACATAGGCGTTTTATCAGTTCTGAGAATCAGTGTGTTATTTGTATCGATTTACAGACGCCTGTTTCCACCGCGACTCATGTCGCTTCCACCAAGGCCCATGGGATGAACTGACGTCATTATATCCGTGCGCGTCAATCCTTCAGCCGTCAGGCGATAGAGGATTTTAAAAGCACGCCCATGTGAAGCACGAACGAGTCCGGTGCACTACGCACCGGTGATTATGCTGCCTTGCTAAAACTTTGATTTACATTGTCAGGTAGCGACGATTCCGCGCGAGAGAACTTACATTGGTCGTGGTCTGTATGCCTTTTTCATTTGTCTGCAGTTAGTACCGTGCTTAGTATGTCAGGCATTGATCCGGGATTCCACGAGGACGAGGATGAGGTACTGCCGCGTAAAGGGGCAAAGGTGTACACATTCACAGGGGCAAAAAACATGAATTTGTGAATTACTGGTCGCATCGTCCGTCCACCGTCCTCTGACCTCCCGCCAGCGATACCTACAGGCGACGACCAAAGCCCTGCGTGCCAGGTGTGGGCATCTGGCGATTCGACCGTTAAGCCGCGTGGTCCCGTGACGTCATCGTTTGCCTATCACGTTGCCATGGGAGCTGCGCCACGAGGTGGGCAGGAACCGTCTGATTGGACAGGAGTTGATGACGCAGTGGAATACGTGGCCCTATGGGCGCTGAAGTAATGGCAGGGTCTGCCCATAACTAGCGAGATGCCTTGTTCCACTCCGACCAGTTTCGTCGCATTGCTGATCTGACTTCGTGACGTCTTTGGCTCTCGTGATATGTGTATACATATATATATATATATATATATATATATATATATATATATATATCGTTTGGCATCTTCTTAAGCAGCCTGGACCTCAGGCACTGTCAGGCATCGCTCAGCTGGTCTTTTGCTTGCTTCTCAACTGGAGGACCACGCGCTGAATCAGGCACCGCTGATGCAGTGCGCGAACATGTCCACGATCATGTCGTACATTGCCGGTAACTTGAGATGTGATCTAGGAACCGTTCGGCTTGGCCCGTTTTCCAACCGAGCGGCTTGGCCCGTTTTCCAACCGAGCGGCTTGGCCCGTTTTCCAACCGTGCGGCTTGGCCCGTTTTCCAGCCGTCTTTCGCTCAGCCACCTGAAAATGTCCTGACTATGCAACAGTTTAACTGAATTCCTTTCAAGAATAGTCCGTGTTGAAAAGAATGTTTGGCGCTGTTCAGTTAGCGAGCCCAAAGGCTTGATATTCGATGCTGTTGGATTTCGCTGTACATTGGCAGTCGGATGTAACCCTCAGCGGCACCATCTGATCCGTCGTCATTCACATTTTGAGATGTGTGTGATGGTCGTAAGCTTTGTTTCATGTTCATGGATGGGCTGCTTTGATGCTATATGTTCTTCTATGCTTACAGTGCTCCTTATTGCGACTTTGATTCATTCCCAATGATTCCTGTCAACCCTTGCTTGCACCTTCTCATGTTGTAGGCTTCTCCCGATATCGGCTGTTCTGTTCTTTTGAGGTTTGTGGGAGGAAAGGCTTATTTTTTGAAGACGGTCTCTTTGCTGTAGACTTAGAAATGTCATGGCCGCTCCAGGAAGGAGCATCTGGAATGTTGACTCTGCGATAAGAAACTTATTGCAGTGTCCGCAGCTCTGTCAGAAATGTGGAAACAGCTTCATGCTTTCATCGCACGTTTCTCTAAACCTCACACCGATGGGTTCTCCCACATAAAATTAAAGCATGATCAAAGACCGTCAACACTACATTCTCTCTCTTTGGCGTGGTAATACTTCTGCGACTGGTCATATTTCATGGGCGGCGCTCCAAATGCTTCACGAGCACCCAGGTACCTGCTATCGACGCCTAGAAACAGTTCGACGGTCTGTCACCAACGACTTATCGGGAACCTTATGGTATGCATGTGACTGCGCAGGTGCCTCCGGCCATGGTGGACAATCCTAACGAAGTGTGGATGCACCTGCCCATCGAGAGCTCGCGGCGCGGGAAGCTCCAGTTCCCTGGCACCACCTGACCGCCCCCTGAGACACAAGACTCCAGAAGAGAAGGACGCAGCGGTGGCTGTTGACTCGCTCACACTGCATAAGGGCGCCCGCCGTGTGGTCCGAATGGGGCGGCTCTCCCAGCGAAGAGACTGCTGCTTAGCCGCCGCACGGGGCCAGTCGGGTGTCGACTTCCTTGTGTCGCATTCTATTGTGATGATCCGACACTGAAACGGAGCGTTCAGTTTGAGTAATGTATTTGCTTCGATCGCATTCTTACCGATTGTAACGTGAATTGTTGGTGACATGAATAGGTGCCATATGATCGCGGTCATATCTCGAAGTCGGTCTGTGTGCCGCAGCAAGTTACCTCTGATTATGCCCTTTGTGCGTCATTTATTGAAAGCCTTCCTGTCAGCCGTACACTGAAATCAAATCTCTGCTTATGCCAGTACGCGCACAAACCGCCTGACCACCTGCGTCATATCGTGAACCACCTCAAAAAGTGTGACCCCGTCACGGTTTTCCCCAAGCGCGACCAGGTCCGACTCCAGCTTTCTAATGTCGGCCACCGACGATGCCGCCAGAGCTCTGGGCGGGTTCCGGGCGGCACTGATGACACCCATTAGTGTCTGCAGTTGTCTTCTCAACAGGGCTGACTTCTCAGCAAGGTGAACAGATGATTCTGCAACATAAAGCTGAGTTAGTATCTAACAATCAGTATACAAGTAAGTATACAATACAGTCGTCTAGGTGTGAGGCCACTCTTGAACTGCGAACTGGAAATTCAACCAGTGGCGAGGACGGCTTTTAGTCGTGATTACAGCTTATTGATAATGTACGCAAAACATTGCGAATGAACGGCTACGATCCAGATACTCAGACAACTATTCTCCAATAATACTGGAGAGGCCCCGTTTTGGAACACGATGGTCCGCCGTCCGGTACCGTCACCTGTGTCCAGCACCGGCACGCCGAAGTCCCTCAGCATATTGAAGACGTCGTCGACGATGCGGACCAGGCCGTCGGTGAGCGGGGTGTGGCCGTGCTCGATGGTGCGGATGTCTGACATCAGACCGGCCAGGTCAGCCTTAATGACCTTCAGCGTGTACGGGTCCAGGTTGTAACGCGGCCCGTAAAAGTCCAGGGCGCCGTCCAGCACGCCGAGCAACGCCTCCAGCGCGGCGTCCAGCGCCGTCGGCGTGTCGTCCGCTGCACATGGCGCCAGTGTCAGGTTCGAAACCACGTGGCGTTGGGCGCATTGTTTCACTTTTGGATAAAATGCTCCGTTTTTAAGGACCATTTAGGCACCAAACAACGTCGTTGCCAACGTCTATAATTAAGCAGTTTGAATTTTGTATTCTTCAGTTGCAGCATGTCATGTGCGACCAATTTCGTTGGACTATTCTACACGGTACCCAACTCTATATCATGATTGGCGAAATGCCAATGCGTAGGGACAATGATTAAGGAAGATTAGGGAAGGGGGGGGGGGCGGGTTGACTCATAATTTTTTACTCTAAAGCTGCTCGACTCGGCCATTACGACAAGCCCGGCTCGCAAACCCCGCCACTCACCCGGGAAGTGCGGGTCGACGCCGAGGTCGTTGAGAAGTTCCATCAGATCGCGGACGATACGTTCGGCGCCTGTCTGCGCCTCGATGTCCCGGCGCTCCAGGCGCTCGATGGTGGTCACCAGCGCGTGGAGGTCGGCGTCGGCCTTAGCGATCTGCTCCGGGCTGAAGCCAACCAGCGGCCCCAGCAGGGCCATCGCGGCATCGAACACCTCCTCCAACAGCTTCAGTAGTTGGTCCAATGTCATACTAATCTCTGCAATGGCAGATTAGACTAGTATAGGAAAGCTTTGACCATGGGCGGCGGCACGTATTTTTGGCTATGGAAGCGGGGATGAAGCTAGCAAGTAGTGAACTAGGTTAACACTAAGCGTGCATTATGGCTCTAATAAACATGGTTCAACGCCTCGTTTACCCCCCACTGTTACACTTGATCACAGTACATGCGATATTTATTGGTGGTGACACACACACACACACACACACACACACACACACACACACACACACACACACACACACACACACACACACACACACACACACACACACACACACACACACACACACACACACACACACACACACACACACACACACACACCACACACACACACACACACACACACACACACACACACACACACACACACACACACACACACACACACACACACACACACACACCACACACACACACACACACACACACACACACACACACACACACACACACACACACACACACACACACACACACACACACACACACACACACACACACACACACACACACACACACACACACACACACACACACACACACACACACACACACACACACACACACACACACACACACACACACACACACACACACACACATACACACACACACACACACACACACACACACACACACACACACACACACACACACACACACACACACACACACACACACACACACACACACACACACACAAAGACGCATATATATATATATATATATATATATATATATATATATATATATCATCTGATATGTTTCAGCTGGGTGACCCGACCTAATGTTTTTGGAAACGACTCTTCGTTGTTCAACTTGAATCAGTTGTTTCTATGTCCTGCAGACGCTCAGTTTTAGCTGCACTTAATCCTTACTAGTTAAATCGTAACAGTAACTTTAACAGCCGGTAATGCTGCAAAACGATCTTACATGTCTTTTCGCCCTACAACTATGATTATCAATTATTCTCAGTATAACAATACCCCAGATATATTTTGTCAACAAAAAATGAAAAAGGGAATGTCACGCATTTGAGGATATCAAAGCGCACATCAGATATGATGAAATAAGCTCATTTAAATCCATTTATATACTTTTAAGTGGAAAGTACTGTTCTAGACAACACAACTCCTCAGTTAGCAAATATGCTCTTCAATACGTCATTGTGTGAATGCGGGAAGATGAGGCCTGTACCTCTAAATCACAGATCACGCTGGTAGAGTAGGACACCAATGGAAATGTCCGAAATTGTTCAACAACATATGCTAGAAAGCGCGTGATTAGCTTATTTTAGTATGTTTATTTTCACCTTTAAGCTTAGCGTTTCAAATGAAACGCCCTGTCTATACCTGCGTGTTTTCGATGTGTCCCTAGATTAGATGAGCTTGGTGTCCATATGCTTAAGTGCACCGAAGTGGGGATGCAACTGTCATTCGTATCTGCATGTCGTTTGCCGCAGATGCGTTTCGTAAGCGTCACTCTGTTCCTACAACAAATCTTTTTAAACATTAAACTGTAGTTCAGCGCAATCGGCCGTCTCCGTGAATTACAATGGTACGTCAGCTAAAGACACATTTATTACCATATACGTTGTATTGTTTCACTCAACTGAGCGACAACCACGACCAACCTAAGACCTCTTTGCCATTGGAACAGACGCTTGACAGAGAGATCCATTAGTCACATTTGGTCCGCCGACCAGCAGTCTGGCGGCGTTCTCGTAAACATGCGTGGGATTTATCGAACACGGGCGCACGCGTCGTCGACTGTTGCCCGCATGGCTGACGTCATCACCCAACCTCAGTGTCTCGTCAGATAGGCGATGTACTTGACGTCATTGACGATTTTCACCATGTCCTGAAGCATGGACTCCACGGCATTGCTGTCTTCCAGTCTGTTTTGCGTTACTGTCTTGATGGTCATCACCAGCTGGTGCACGTCGGTCTCAAGGGTCGTCATCAGCGCGTCCGGCATCGGCAGAGACTTGTTCAGCGACGTCACGACACCGGCGAATTGGTGCTCTAGGGTGTGCAGCAGGCTGTGCATGTTCACAGGTTCTGCTGCGGCAGGGTTAAGGCAGGTGTGTTGGCGATAGCTGGATAACTTGGTGAATTGTCGAATGGAGGGAGACTGCTGGCTAGGAGCAATATGACGTCTACCTGGCTCCCCTTTCGCTTTTGTTGTTGAACACGAAGCTGTGAAATTGGCTTCGTTGCTTAAAAGTATGTTCCGCTGCTTAAGTATGGAATACTTTTCCTGGAAGATATTTTTGGCAGCAATCGATGCCAACTACAGAAACTATCGATGGGACTTACAGAAACTAGATATGGAAGCAAAATAAACTACCTTCGGAAGCTACAGAAACAATCTATGGAAGGTACATTAGATGTCTATCGAAACTGCAGAAACTATTTGTGAAAACTACAGAAGTCTTCCATGGAAACTACAGAACCTATCCATATAAACTGCAAAAACTATCTGTGAAAACTACAGAAATCATCTATGGTAACTATCTTTATTGTCTTTATGCATCCAGTCGCATTAAAACAAATCAATCTGGTAAAATAATGCCTATCATGCGAACTTACCTGTGCATTGTGAATAAGGGCAGTTCACCTGTGCAATGTGAACGGCCGCCAACAGAGCAAAGGTAGATTTGGAGCAGATTCGCTATAGAGAGTTGCAAATGCTACCTTTGGCACATTGCAAAGACATGCTTTAGTGGAACCTTAGGACTTTTTAGTTCAATAATGGCGTTAGGGAGTGCCACTGCAGTACCATCAACCATAATACGCATACGATTGATTATTTTTGAGTCCAACTTGCGTTGTCAACGCTATGTAACAGCACAGTCTTCTTCCCTGCAGTTGTCGCGACCGCCATCGTTATGACGATGGCATGATCTTCTGAGGGCCGTTATCACCTGTTACTGAATCACATCAGAACACAGGATTGTCTGTGATTGGCACAGCAGGCGGCAAGGGCCAATTTCCGAGAAGCGCATTGGTTTAAGTTTGAATCAGTGCGTCATTATAGACCAAGTGATACTCTGCATCTCCCAAAGCCAAAGTGCGCTTCGAAAAGAGGCAATGTAATAAACGCCATAGGGAGAAATACAAACCATAGCAAACCTTACGTAAGGCGTTCAGTGCATTAGCGAGAAGCATTGATGATATAGATAAAACAGTAGTATTAGCCTTATTCCTCGGAGAAAAGCCAGGGGAATGGAAACATAGTTGGGTTGATATTTCGGCAACACGCAATGTATGTGTGGGTGATTGGGGCTTTACGACGCACTCAGCTGCTGAGGCGATATGGCGTCGCCTGCCTCTCACCCTGGCAAGAAGGGCGGGCACCGCGGGGAATCGAACCCCGTACCTCTGGTTTCCCAGACGCGCAGTGGTTAACGCAGACGTGTTAACCACTACACTACCGGCAGTCCCCTCGGCAACATGCATTTAGCGAAACAATACGGGAAGTAAATTTAAGATTGCGTGCCGATAACCCCACACGAATTTTCAGGTTGTTTTTTGAAACAGCGAACCACAGGGCACCAACATTCGGGGGATTGCACAAAAAGTGATTATCATCCATTACCACGATGCAGTGCCTATTTAAGAATAAGAACGCGAACGGACGTGTACATGTAAACAAACTCAAGCGAATAAGCATTACGCATCACGCTTCATTCAAACATGCAAGCGAGTTGAAGTGAACAGGCATTACACATCGCACATCAATTATACATGCAAGCAATTTCGATTGAACAGGCATCGCGCATCACGCGTCAGGCATCACTTACACATGTAAACATCGATTACTTACATGTTTTGACCTACACATTTACACATGATGCCTGTTCAATTGAAATCGCTTACATGTATAATTGATCCGCGATGTAAAATGCCTGTTTACTTCAACTCGCTTGCATGTTTGAATGAAGCGTGATGCGTATTTGCTTGAATTCGTTCACATGCACACGTTTGTTCGCGCATTCTAATTCTTAGATTCACTGTATCGTGGTAATGGTTGGCAATGGCTCTTTGTCACATCCCCTGAATGTCGGTGTCCTGTAAAAACTGTTACTTGCTGCTTCAAAAAAAAAGAAAGAAAAAATCGAGTGGGATCATCGGCAGGCAATTTTACGTTCACTTCTGCTATTGTGCACGTCTGGCCCTAACAACGATTGAAAAGTACCAGAAGGTGGCTACTCCCTTCAAAGTATGTTTCGCCAAAATACAATGACGTGAGACAACAAAATTAAGACCACGAAAATTGTCTACGACATTACAAGGACTGGTTTAACGAGGCAAGCAAGGCTTACGTCATGAAGCTAGCATTGCACCGAATAGCTACCACAACAAAAAACGCATAATCAAAACAACAAAACGTATTGCTTCGTTAACAAGACAAAGCAACAGCGCGATTGATGAGGATGATCTCATATGATAGACTGAGACAGGCCATAAATTACGTGATAGAATATGAGCCTGACAAACTGTTTTCCAAAGGGGCAGCTGTCAAGAATATGTAACATACATACCACAATTCACAAAAGGTTTGTTCTACTCTTTCAACATGTAGTTAATAACGTTAAAAAACGAAGGCAAGCACTCACAAGATGTGAGGCACTTCTGTACATAAGCCCAAGCAACGAACCTTGTGCAAAGTGGCAAAACAATATGTATCAATGCAGCAAGCATAGGCCAGACTGACGCCATCATTCAGTTCACCTTCATGATTGTGCCCAAACTTTTGGAACTATCTACATTAAACAGCACTGTTTACAGTTACAAAAATTAAAAGTGCAGGATATATCCGACATGCTCACGGATTGAATGCATGGCCCTGCCCGTTGATAATTAACGTTAAGTACCATGCACGCTAATATATCCGACAGGGAGCAGAAATGGCGCGCCCTCGCCAGTTATGACCCCAGATAAAGGCAGTGAGGAAGTCATCCATATTCTCGGCAATGTTTTGATGTTAAGGGTGAAATGAGGAATGCTCAGTACTTATTGGTAAGCCGTTAAAGGCAACCCTCCACACTCGAAGATATTGATGCAAGCCTTAGATATGATGAAATATTCTAACTTGTAACTCTTCGTCTGATTTTCAGTGTTTTAGACTACTTTAGCCAATAGATCACTCTTCAGTAAGTCTGATGTTCAATGCGTCATCGTTATGGAATATCGGCCCTGTGGGCCCCTCGAGCCCTTAGGAGGAGGGCTGGGGGTCGTGTCTCTCTGCCTGGGGCTCCCTAACGGCGCTTTGCGCGTTTGGCAGCTGTACCACGGCGTAATCTGGAGGAGGCATCGATCGGTTGAACATGGGCATGCGTTTATCTGTTTCGCCTCCCTCCCCCCCCCCCCCCCCCCACACACACACACTCAGGCTTTCACATCAGTTTTCACTCAGCCAATATCCGTAAGCGCAACCACTACTGTAGTCGCTGAAAAGGTCTCTCGGTAGTAGCTCTTTAACTGTCACTTCGTTAGGATCGGGACCCCCGCAACCCTCGTGTACATGGCAATGGGACATGGGGCATGGCCATCGGTCGTTTTTCAACATCAACTGGGGGATTTTGAGACTCAGGCGATAACGTACGGCTATCTTTTATGTTTTAACATTAGTGGCTCTCGTTAAAGTTTACTTTATCTATACTTGGTTGAAGGAATTGTTGTTAGTTTGCGCGCTTTCCACCTGCTTGGAACTATTTCACCAATGATGCACGCGCTATTTTCGACGTTACAAGCTAGTATGAATTGGATAATGCAGTTCTAACTACTTGCCAAATTAAACGCAATCAAGTAAACACCACGGCAAAATTTACGTCATGCAAGGAACTTACTAACCGCGAATGTACGAAAAAATCATCTTTTGTGAAGCTGGCTCATTTACCCTCCGCGCTTTTGCGCGGCAAAATTTTGTAGGTTCGTTGGCTCACCACTTTGCTTCATGCGACTGGGCCCTGGACGGGGAGCCAGTGCGCATGCTCTCGTTCAAAGCCAAATTAAGAGTGCATCTGCGGCTTTGCGGTCGCTTCCCTCACCGCCTACCGTCTCACTCACCGTTGCTGTGTACGGTGGGCACGCCGAAGTCCTTCAGGATCTGCAGAATGTCCGTGAGGATGGCCTCCAGCCCGTGGTCGACGTCAATGTGGCCGTCGCCCAAGCTGCGGATGTCGTTGATGAGCGTATGGAGATCGGCTTCGGTCGCCTTGATCTTGTCGTAGTCCATCCCGATGAAGGGTCCGACGATATCGAGCACAGCGTTCAGGCCGTCCTCAAGCCAGAAAAGCACTTCGTCCAGCGTAGTGGTGCCGTCCGTGGCTGGCGGCAGACGTCCTGGTCACGGCGAGACTCCCGATAAGGTCAGGACGGGGCTGTGCTTGAGGGCCGGTGTCACTGTGCGGTCAGCAGAGACCGTACGCAGTCAAGAGCTTACAATGATCCGCTGTTGCGCGGGTTGTGCATATCGTAGCGGACGAAGTAAGCTATGTAATGCAGCTTAGGTTAACTTCCAACTTTCATCTCCGAGCGAAATATCAAGATTTCACAGCAACAACGTGATGTTACTGCACCATTGTCATAAATGCACGTATATTGCCGGTAGGCAGCGTCATTCGAGTGCCGGGGTGAAAAAAATATCATCCAATGATCAGGCCTAACTTTTTATTATTCGAATCCGTATGCCGAGCCCTCTATGCTGGAGTACAGCACAAATTAGCACTACCATTTCCATATTACCACCTACTGGGAACAGTGACGTCCACATCGAACGCCTCCAGCACGTGCAGGATGTCAATGCAGATGTCAATGACGCCGTCCGCGATCTCAACGGTGCCGTGCTCCATGCCCTCGACGTCGACCACGAACTTGTCAAAGTTCTCCTTGATGGCCTTGGTTTGCTCGCGCGTCAGACCAGCTAGTGGTCCGATGATCGGTAGGTACCTGTCCACCAGGTCCTTCAGCTCGTCCAGAATCGTATCGATGATGGACTTGGACGCTGTGGAGCAAAACACGAGGAGTGGCGCTGGAGCGGGCGTTGTGCTTGCCCGCGTCGACAACGTGCGAAACCATTCGCTATGCATGCGGCATTCTGGCATCCATGCTCCTTAGTCTATGATACGACGGGCAGTGCAGCCACACGGCACTTGTGGCTGTTAACACAATACTTAACACGACCGTTGTCTTTCAACTGGAGTTGCTACAACGCAACGGCTTATCACCTCTTTCGTTCAGACTTTGCCACTGCCATTGGCCTTTGTCACAGACTGAAGCGCCACCATTTTGCTGCGCGAAAGCCAATCGTTGCTCACTAGTTGTCTCTGTCAGGTCGGACCGCTGCAGCGTGATGACGCCCAGATCCTTAACGATGTCGAGCATGTCACTCAGCAATCTTCTCCAGGCCGCCATCCACGTCGATGTCGCCGTGCTCGATGGCCTCGATGTCCTTGATGAGGGCGTCCATGTCAGCCTCAGCGGCTTTGACCCGGTCGTCGGTCAAGGACAGGAGGGGCGCCAGCGTCTCAAGTAGCTCGTCGAAGCCGGACTCCAGGGCGGCCAGCAGGCCGTCGACGGTTGTGGGAGTGTCGTCAGCTGGTAGGTGCGGGGGTTACAGGTCTCACATGAGCACAAAATTCCCATGTGAATTGGCAGCCTATATTTTAAAGGAAAACATTCCATACCGTGGTATGGATAGCTTATATCAGCAACAAAACGTTCAATAGGACCTTTTCAAGGCATACCAGACCATGATCCAAACGAGAAAACAGTAGCTGCAGGTTTGTAGTAATGTACATTCTTCATGAGATTTCGGCAAATCAAAAATGAGATTTTAGTGCATTAGGTATGAGCAATATGAAAGCTAACTTACAATGAGGCGGATGTGATTTTCTGGGCCTGTTGGACAAATTTCGGGCAAGAAGAGACTTGCTTAAAGGCGATGGCCTGTACCTAAATCAGGGTGTAAAATCACTGCTTAATAATCTTTATCATTAAATCTTAATCAATCACAATCACTCCTTAAGGAATATGATAAGTATTCTTCAGCGCCCATTCAGTTGTGGGAATAGCTAGGCAACGGAGGGGGATTAGTAATGTCCAGCAGACTAAGTGTTAAATATAATGTATTGAGCATTCGACGCCATTTGATGAGCTGAAGTGTTGCCATGATGAATATTAATAGGATTCCGCTTTGGGAAGCACAAGTTACTGAAGAATAGTATACGTACAGGATGGCGTAGAACAACATTGCGCGTGGTCTATCTCCTAACTTTTGGGCATCTAATCCAAACTGCTTTGTCTTACCATTTATTAACGCATATTGTATAGATGTTAATGTGTATACAGAATACAATATATGGGACATTCTTTGATATCATATCATGACATGTAAATGTGTGCACCATATGCCACAATCGTTGCGATAAAGGCAGAAGGTGCTTGCTCACAGTTCTTGGCAAGATGTGTCTGGTGTGGCTCAAGAGGGCTCTGCTCTTGGGCTTTCACTTATGTTTGGGGCTGTTACTGGGAAGGCAAAGCCCAAAATCCCAAACATAATTAAAACCTATATTTTGTTCACGTGAGATCACATTGGGATTGCTATGTGCGGAATTTGGCTCAAGCTCGTGAAAAAGATTGTTGGCTGTTAGAGTGCGAAATTAGTGGCAAAGCGATCAGCAGACTTGGAAACTCGTCTTATGAACAAATTTACATTCTCTTAAATACAAAATATTTCCTATCAAGATTGAATATATTTTTCTCAATATACAGAGCACTTAGGACATGCTTCATTCCAGGCCTAAATTTGCACAGCGACAACAGCAGGTTACCTGAAGGGTATTTCGAATTTGCCAGAAACTACACAGTAAAGGGACATCAAGATAAAATTACGTTAAAGCGACATAAGAATTAGGTTGCCGGAACCTTTGCTCAGTAATAGCGTATTACATATGCTGGAACAAGCTGACTGGAACAGGCTGACTTATGGCGTCATTATTCTTGGTCCCCCTACCGTTTTCAAAAGTAACGCAGAACAGGGCATCATGAAAGTGGAAAAGGCTTTGAAATAAACTAGGTGTACAAACCAAATCCGAAATATTTCTAAGCCGGAGCATTTGGCAACTGAGCCATTGTAACTTGTCTCTTATGACATATTTTCGAAAACCATGTTTGTTGTAAAAAATATTGAGCAAGAATACCGCAACCCACGGGAGCGCTGTGTGTCATTGCTGCGCCACGCCTGGTGTCTTTACGTGGTGGTGTCTTAAATTAGACGTTCTTGGTTGCTTAGATCAACAGGAATCTCGCATAAAAGAGGAAAGATAAGGCTTGGCGTATGGCGCTGGAACAGGCTCGTGATAAATTTTTTTATTGAATCAAGCACGCTTGACACTGGTGTCAGTTGCCTGGCGGCGGCCCTCTCCTCCATAATGGTGGTTTTCGAAGGAATTTCGCAAACTATTCCCCCGCAACGCAGGCAATATCGGCGGAAAATATCTGTAGCGTTCTACAGCTGACCTTTCAGGGAGTATGCCGCATGCTTGAACTCGTGACTTGGCAAATCAGATGCACCCGGTTTTATCGGTAATAGCAGAATACTCGAAATCCGTCCGCACAGCTCAGAATTTTGGTTTCAAGTAGCCGCTCCTTCGGTAGAGATGACAGAGGACTTCCTGATCACCACTATGAATATACAAAACACATTTGATTTGCCTTCCTTTTTTCGTCGTGTACGTTATGAAATGTTTGCAACACACTAATTTGTCAAACGGCTTGTATAATGAATGTTACGAACGCAGCAGACATTCTTTTTAAACAGAAAAGTATGCAAACATGAGGTTATAAACCCACGCATTCAACAAAACGCTATGCCAGGGGTGGTAAAGCTCGCGGACTTGGTGGATAAGTTGGGCGACAAACATGTGTATCTCCACAGGACGCTTCGTGTCAAAAATGCTCTTGACCGAAGTTCTGGTGACGGCTACGACAAAACATTACTGTTTAGCCATTCAGGGACAATTTTGGCCCCCAAGCAATTCTCCAGTCACGGACGTTTTTTCTGGCTGCTCAGGATCCCCACTGAAAAAGCCGCCAAAACTATCTTGCCACGACTGAGGTCATGGCTAGAGATCCTGTGGGGCAGGGGGTGGGGGCTAAGGACAGGGCGTTCATGTTTCCTTGACTCCGTAAGACGCAAAACCAGGGGTTTTGTGGAAGTGTGCGCAGGGCTGTTTATGCTGGGTGCAGCGTGAAAAATATCCGTGCTGAATGAGTAG